ATTACAAGGGATTCAATAAGAACAGACTTTAATTTTTTTATGAGGAAATGTAAAAAAGTACGTCTAAGATTATTTTTAGTAATTGGGTAGTTCAAAAGAAAGATTAGAGTAGGCCTGAGTATGATAGGCTTCTAAAAAGTAAATCATTTAGGAAAAGGTAAAAAGAGTAATTATCTTACACAAATGAGGTGTGAGAGGAAGAATTGTCACAGAGGGATTAGATGGGGGAGGAGGGCTGTAGTTCTAGAACCCTACTTTTATCAGGAATGGGTTAAAGAGGGAACAGTACATATATATATATATTTAGAAGGGTATAAAAATCAAAGACAAGGTTTATTAGAACATCTGTCATACTGGGCAGACTCTTAAGGAGTCTGAACATTAGTAAGCTATTGGCTAGATTTTAAGAATTTGAGCAGTGGCTAGATATTAAGAATCTGAGCAGTGGCTAGATTTCAAGAATCTGAGCAGTGATTATAAGAATCTGAGCCCAGTTGTTTTTCTTATGAGATATTTCATATTCTGTTCTATTTTTTCATTCCTTATGTTTTGTTTTATTATTTCTTGGACTCATAACTTTGCTGGCTTGCCCTTGCCCAATTCTAATTTTCTTTTTCTTTCTTTCTCTTCTTTCTTTCTTTCTTTCTTTCTTTCTTTCTTTCTTTCTTTTGTTCTTTCTTTTTCTTAGTGAGGCAGTTGGGGTTAAGTGACTTGCCCAGAGTCACACAGCTAGGAAGTATTATGTGTCTGAGGTCAGATTTGAACTCAGGTCCTCCTGACTCCAGGGACGGTGCTCTATCCGCTGCGCCACCTAGCTGCCCCCGCCCCATTGTAATTTTCAAAGAGTCATGTTCTTCCTTCAGATTCTGAATCTCCTTTTCTAACTGCTTGACTTTCTTTTCATAATCTTGTTTTTGTTGGATTGTTCTTATTTTAAAACATTTTTCTTCAATTTCTTTCATTTGATTTTTAAAGTCTTTTTTAAAGTTCTTCTATTTGGGCAGATGGGCATAGAAGGGTATTTAGATTAATGAGAATGGTAGAATAAGGAGTTATCCTTGGAGGGGAGGTAGATTAAGTAATAGGATGGCCAGGTAGTGGGTAGAAGTAGAGTAGTCAGGAGGGATAGGAAATAAATACACACAAACATGAAATAAAGATCAGGAATAGAATTTATTAGGGAAAAAAACAGGGGTAGTAATCATGATCTCAGACAAAGTTGAAGCTAAAATAAATATAATCAAATGAGAAAAATAGAGAAACTACACCATATGTCAGCCATATTAATATTGTTTTAAACTTTTAAAATAACTAGACAGAATAAGGTTGGAATATTGCTGTGGTGTAGGAAATGATGAGTTTGTGAACCTGGAAAACTATGGAAAGACTTGGTTTTATGAAGGAAGAAGTTATCCACCCTCAGAGAAACAGGATAAAAAGTATAGTATGGTCTTACATAGATGCATATGAATATATATGTCTATATATGCGTATGATTATAGATATGTAAGTGTGCATATGTAAGTGTATGTATGAATATATATCTTTGTGTGTGTATATATATATGTTTATATATGCATATATGTATGTGTGTGTGTGTGTGTGTGTGTGTGTGTGTGTGTAAATATATCCACACTTAATTGTAGCCTTCTTTGGGGAGGTGGGGGGAAAAGGAGGGGAAAAAGAACAAAGTAAAAAGTGCATGGCAGAGAGCAAAGAAAACTTACAAGGAAGGAAAGAAAAGATAGCTCTGAACACAATACGTAGTATTTATTACATAGGCTTTCTTGAAATGGAAATTTATTGCCGTATATTTTGAATCCTCTCATGTTCTCTGTGCACATGGCAATGCTTTTTTTCTTTTCTTATTTTGCACTTAAGTTTTAATATTTAAGTTTATAATGTGTTCCTTTTTCTTTTCTTATTGTGTATTTAAGTTTTTAAAAAAGGAAAAAAAAGAACTGTGACCTAGAGAGGAGTAATGGACGACAGAGCTGCCAGCTGACAACTGCTCCTGTCCTCAGCACTGGTTCAGCCCAGGTATTTCCTGCCTTGGTGTGCTCTATCTCAATGCCCTTACTGTCCCTGGCTGCACTGCTGCCACTGTGCAGAACTCCTGGACACTCCCCCGTCCCCCAACCGCTCACAGTGTCTGCAGACCTCTTCTCTCTCTTCCTATGCTACCCCAGGATGGAAAAATGACTCCCAGTGACTTTTTTTGTTTGTTTTGCTTGGGGTTTTTTGTTTTTCTTTTTTTTTTTTTTTGGCTTTGCCAATCAGGATTTGGTTTGCTCTAGATTGTTGTGGGGAGATATGCTGGGTGAGCTGGGAAAAATGCTGACTCTCACATTACCATCTTGACTTGGCCTCTACCTACAAAAAGCCTTCTTTTAAAAGCCTCTTGAATTCATTTCTAATTGAGTTCAAGACTTCATCTAACTAATCTAATCTTATTTTTCATAAAGACCTGTGGTTGGGCCTGTATTTTGCATTTCCTAAGACCCTTTGTTTGTGACTTGAGGTCATGAGAGAACTCTGATATCCATGTGGGAGAAAGTAACCTTTCTTTCCTAGGGTAGAACTGGGAACCCAACCAGCTGACCACTGTTTATTTGTTTTGTTTGGAACAAAATGTTTATTGAATGGAAGTTTTTGCCATGCTCAGGATGCTCCATGATGAACCATTTTAATAGATCAAAACTCTACATTCTGGGAATAGAAACCTTTTTTAAAATTATGTACAAGTTGCTATTCCATTTATAAATATATATATATATATATATATATATATAATATGTATATATAATTTATATTTAATGATTTTTCTCCTTTTTTCTTCCCTCCCTGAACCCCCTTAGAGCTGGCTACCATTAGACACAAATAGTGTGTGTGTGTGTGTGTGTGTGTGTGTACATATATATATATATATATATATATGTATGTATGTATATGTAAAATTGTTCAATACATACTTATATTTATCAGTTCTTTCTCTGGATACAGATAGCATCTTTCTTCATGTGTCCTTTGTAGTTAATTTGGGTATTTGTAATAGTCAAAATGACTTATTCCATCATTATTTTTTTTTTAGGCAGTTGGGGTTAAGTAACTTGCCCAGGGTCACACAGCTAGTAAGTGTCAAGTGTTTGGTCTGAGGCCTGATTTGAACTCATATCCTCCTGACTTCAGGGCCAGTGCTCTATCCACTGTGCCACCTAGCTGCCCCCCTCAAAGTCTTTCTTAAAACAACATTGCTGTTACATTGTTAAGAAAAATTTATCTCCTTAACTGGAAGCATAATCATGAGCCATTCGTGTTTCATAACTGTTCATCTAAGGCAGAATTACTATGGACCAGGGCATTTAAATCTGCTTCATTAGGCCATGATCCTAACCTGGCGACCCTCACGTTTATACATCTGTACATCTTGTATGTATATACTATAGTTATTTACGTGTTTTCTCCCCTAGTAGAATTTAAACTTCTTGAGAGCAAGCAATGTTTTTTTTTCTTTTCTTTGCATCTCTAGCATTTAGCCCACTGCCTGGAACTTAAAAAGCACTTGGAAAATGCTTGTTGACCGGCAGACATCAATCCTATCTATATGCAGTATTCCATGCCCATAGTCTCTATTAAGACAGGAGGGAGACACATTTTCTCAGCTCCAAAGAAAAGGAAATTGAACATCATTATTGTTATATTAAAACTCATACGTTTTAATGTATATTTACAAAATAAAAATATGAGGAGTTTCTGAAATGAGTCATGCTTTAAAAAGATAAAATAAAATCCTAGAACACCTTCTAAATAAATGAAACTTTGTGGCTCCCTAATAATTCACTTATATAAGACTTTAGGAGAAAGGGCTCCAAGAGCCAATTATTTCCTTTGCAAATACATTGTAGAACACCACCCTTGACCACCATCCAGGATGATATAGAGTAAAGTTCCTCATCTCTAATTTACCTCATTTCATTGTAAGCTAAGAATCTTATCAGTACTGGAGACTTCAAGATTTTAGGACCTAATTCGACCTCCTGAACGGGCTAATAGGTAGCCTGAAGAAAAAAAGGAGTGTGTTCTGGTGACCAAATAGCTTCAAATTGTGTGAGGAAATGGGTCTTCTTTGAATTGGAACCCGTTTGATGCCAAATCTATGGGTCTGGTAAGGATATGTTCCTTCAGGGTTTTCTACAATCTGCTGGAAATAATTAGAGAATTATTATGTGTTGAGGACCAGCTCTAAAGAGTCCGATCTGGGTTCAACATCCAGGACAGAGTTTCACTCTTGCCCAGTCTTAACCCACAGGGCTCAATTATTTAGAAAGCAGGGCTCTCCAAATCTCCCCCTGCAAGGGAGGTTTTCTGAGAAGTTCCTTCTCACTTTTTGAACCTTAGATTTACACATTTACTCCTCTATGCAGGTGGCACCAAGGCACGTGGGAAAGCCTTGGAAAATACAACCCAATCTAGGAACCCTGATGATGAAGAAATGTATGTTGTCACGTCCTCAGCAGATGTTTTGGGGAGTGTCTCACGGGGAGGACTCTTTGAAGTTAGGCTAGATTTTCTCTATGTATCCTGTACCCTCAGATGAATAAACTGAGTCAGTCTTTACTGCTCTGCCTGGCCCACGTCTCACATTTATTTTGCGCCTTCCCATTCGGTGCACTATCTGATTGCTGGCGGCAATTACGAATACATAATATAGAGAAAAATCTGTACTGGGGTGGAGGGGTGGTACACAGTTAAGGAATGATCAGAGTGGGAAGAAGTTAGTCCCAAAAATCCAGAAGGCACAAAGAAAGGAAAGGAAGGTCATAGCAACATAGAATCAGAGATTCAGAGCTGAAAGGGATTTTAGAAGCTTTCTCCCTCATTCTACATACAAAGAAACTGAGGCTTGAGAGAACAACTTACCCAAGCTCACACAGCTAGTAAGTGGGTATAAAGGGACAGGTAAGAATTTAGAGTGGAACAGAGAAGAGTCAGAGCCAATATGGAGTTGGAGCTACGTAGGTTTAATGTGCTTTACATACATTCATTATCTTGATCGTTGCAATAATTGCCTAATATTTATTTTTCTTATTTTTATTGATTCCTTGTGTTTTACATAAATTACATTTCCAAATATAGCCTTTCCCCATCTCCTACCCAATGTGCCTTCCCTTGTAACAAAAATATTGTAAAAGAGAAGAAAAAAATCACTTAAGCAAAATTAATCACATTACCGAGTCTGACAAGATTGACAGTATTCCCCACAGTATTCAAAACTTGCCTTTGCAAAGATGCAGTTTCTCAACTCTTCTCAAGGACGAAGGTTGGTCATTATAACTGCATAGCATTCAATTCATTGTTTTTTTATTCTTCAGTGTAGGTTATTTTCCTGAACCTGCCCCACTCTTCCTAACTCTTCTCATACTTCTCTGAAATCTTCATATTTAATGTTTTATTTTGTTTTATAACACACAAAAAAAATTCATTACAATAATTTGCTTAACTATTCCCCAGTCAATTGGCATCTATAGACAAGTGTTGTTTTCCTCTTTTTACAGATGAAAAGACTGAGACATTAAGTTAAGTGACTTATCCAAGATCACACAACTGGCAAGTACATAATCAGAGTCCTGGTCTAACTCCAGGACTGTTTCATCGCTCTACCTACTATATCACACAACCACCTCTCTTTTGTTCCAGCTGTCCAAAATTTATTATACTAGACCAGGCAGTCAAAGATTCACTTAGCATGGAACAAGCATTTATTAAGCATCTACTATGTGCCCTGTGCTGAGTAGATACTCCAATCAGCATAGCTTCAAGAACTTTTAGCCCACAACACTTATCTGCTCCATTATGGCAAGGATCCAATATTATCTAAAATGTGTACTTTACCTAGTGAAGAACTTGGAACAAAGTAAGAATTTGAAAAATGTTTATTGAGTTGGATTGAATTTTTGGGGGAGAGCCAATTGGGGTTAAGTGACTTGCCCAGGGTCACACAGCTAGTAAGTGTCTAGGCCAGATTTGAACTCAAGTCCTCCTGTGACAGTGCTGTATACATTAGACCACCTAGCAGCCCCTGGATTGAATTGAAATAAGCAGGCAGGTCAATGAGTCCTATAGGCAGTCTAGATGCCATCAACTGCAAAAAAAAGAGTTATAAAATGACATGCAAGTATGCAAGATGATAGTATCATGGGATTTCTGATCCAGTGGCCCTTCTAGATACAATAGGATACTGCTTAGACAAGACTATTAAAATGCCAAATTAATTTCCCCCCAAAAGGGAACAAGATATTTGCCCAAAAGGGATCACATTACACTGACAATTGACATTTAAATAATCAAACAGACTCTATCCACGCAGTTCAGTAATAGCTTCTGAAGCAGATGGATTGACTTGTTGGCCAACAGTTACTAGAGTTTTGATGAAGAGAGGGCTATTACTCTGGCATAATGCTCCAGCAAGGCCTGTTGTCATAACAGCTACAGGTTCACACTGGCCACCTCATCTGTTTCCAGAAAGGAAGTGGCCTCACTCCCCGCAGCTGTTTCCTTTCGTTCGGAGACTTCATTGCAATCAAGGTCCTTTTCTTCAGGTTTTTTCTTACATAGTCTCTTGTACGTCTGATATACTTCAGGAGAGACAAATACATGACAGCTATAAGCCATTTGATAGGGATAATAATAAAATTATTTTTATTGCAGTCAACTAATTGCAATTCAGGGTTTTTTATTTTAAAAATAAACCTGTAGTAAAGGAAGAAAAGGGAGGGAGAGAACTAATATAAGACAATGGACCTTAAACAACTTCTTAAGCATGGTGGAGCAGGATCAACAGACTTAGAGTCAGAAAAGCCTCAAGAGTTCCAATTCTAGCACAGCTGCTTACTGGCTGTGTGACCTTGGGCAAATGACTCTGGGACTGTTTTGTCTTTTATAAAATGAGAGGTTTGGACTTCATGGCTTCTAAGTTCCCTTCCAGTTCTACATATATGATCCCATAAGCAATATTATTTAATATTGTTTTAGACCATTTAAAATACCTAGACAGTATAAAATAGTTGAGCATAGGGGCAGCTAGGTGGCACAGTGGATAGAGCACCGGCCCTGAAGTCAGGAGGACCTGAGTTCAAATCCAGCCTCAGACCAACGATTTGACACTTACTAGCTGTGTGACCCTGGGCAAGTCACTTAACCCCAACTGCCTAACCAAAAAAAAAAAATACCTGAGCATATACCTACCAAAACAGACATAGTAACTATAGGAACATAAACATGAAACACTCAGATCTAAATAATTGAAGTAATACTTATTGTTCATGGGTAGGTAAAGCCAATATAATTTTTTAAATGACAATTTTACCTAATATATTTATTTAATGTCATCCCAATTATTTAAAAATTGTTTTACTGAGTTAGAAAAAATAACAAAGTTCATTCTGAAGAACAAAAGGTCAGGAACTTCAAAGAAACCAGGGGAAAAAAGTGTAAGGGAAACAGATTCAGCAGTATCAGACCTTAAACTATATTATAAGATGAGAGTATTGTTGAAGTGTAAAAATGATAATTTCTATCATTTTAAATTAAAATTTTCGTGTATGAATAAAACCTACGTAGCCAAGAATAGAAGGAATGCAGAAAATTGGAGGGGAAAACTTTCATAGGCAATCTGAGATAGGATGTGATTGGGTTGGCATATTACTATGGTGTAGGAAATGATGAGCTGGTTGATTTAGAAAAACGTGGGAAGACTTGGACTTAAGAAGGAAGATGCAGTCCACCTTCAGAGAAACAGACGATAGGAGGAAATGGTCTTACATATATGTGTATGAGTGTCTATGTTTATATATGCATATATTTATAAATATCTATGTGTATATACACATACATATATATATATACATGCTTAATTGTAGCCTTCTTTAGGGTGGTGGGGGGAGGGAGGAGAAGAAAATAAAGTAAAAAATGCATGGCAGAAAACAAAAGAAAACCAACAAGGAAGCAAAGAAAAGCTGGGCAGCTTTGAAAATATGTGTAGTATTTATTACATAGGTTTTCTTAAAATTGAAATTTATTGTTTTATATTGAATCCTCTCTTATGGTCTGCTGTGTAAATGGCAATTTTTTTCTCTTCTCATTTTGTATTTAAGTTTAAAACCAAAAAATTACCAAAAAATGCATATTAAACTTTAAAAAAAATAAAATAAAATAAGATGATAGTATCATGGGATTTCTGATCCAGTGGCCCTTCTAGATTTAAATCTTTGGTCCTCTGACTCTAGGGCTAAAGATTGATTGTAACTACACTAATGCATTGTTGGTAGAGCTGGGAATTAGTATGACCACTCTATAAAAACAAGTGGGAATTATGCAAACAAAGTGGCTTTAAAAGTCCATTTTTTAAAAAAAAAGTTACTGAGATGAAATTTCTTGAGGCCAGCTCTGCGTCCTTCAAGGCTTACTGTTTGTTGATTCGGTGGAGTGGCCTGGAGCAGTGTACACTTCACTCAGACCAAACCTCAGCCACTGGAGTTGTCTTTAAGGTCGGTTGTCTAAAGATGTCGTAGGAGGACAACTGCCTTTATTTTTGCTGCTCTGTTTTCATTTCATGGCAATTTTCTGTCTGTTTGTGGAGGAAATCTGGAGAGCCTGAAAATCTCTGACCTACTCTGCAATTTTGTGGTATATTTAAAAGGATTAGCAAGTTGTGCATAGCAGTTTCATGTACAATTGTCTTTTTTATTGTAATATGTTATGAAAATGCTTGTTTTATAAATTAAAAATAAAAGTTTAAAAAGCTAACTGAAATATAAAAAGACCTACATAGTGAGACAATCAAAAAGTCAAAGTTTTTAAAAAAGAGTGAAATGAGGCATCTAACTCTTCCCATCCCAATCCTAATACTAAAAATGTGTAGATGTTATACTTAGGGTGCACCAACCTAAAATAATGAAAAATCCATTCAAGGTCTGGAAAAATCCATAGTTCAAAGGGAAGGCAAATACTTCTGCGATTTGTTCTGAATTGAAAGATAACTGAATCATTGTGGAACATGTTTGTATATTCTGAGCTCCTGTTTCCATGCAAATGGTCCTGCACCTGCCAATGAAAATGTGATCTAAGTAAAATTCTGTCAACAAGAATAGCTTATATTTATAAAAGACATCATAGTATCGTGGGTAGAGAGCTATGTTTGGAGTAAGGAACTTGGGTTGAATTCCTGTGTCTGACACCTTCCAACCACCCAGATTCCAACTTCCATGTTATCCAACTTCTCATTCTTCTTTACCCCATGTCCAATTGTTGTTGTTAGCTGTGTCCGACTCTTCCTGACCCCATTTGGGGTTTTCTTGGCAGAGATATTGAAGTGGTTTGCCACTTCCTTCCTTCAGCTCATTTTACAGATGAGGAAGTCAGCAAACAGAATTAAGTAACTTGCCCAGGGTCACACAGCTTGTAAGTGTCTGAGGTAGGACTTGAACTCAGGAAAACACATTTACTGACTCTAGGATGGGCATCTCGCCACCTAATTGCCAATTAGTCTTGTCATTTCTACCTCCACAACATATATAACTCCTTTTCACTCACAGAACTATTACCTGACTTCAGACTTTGCCTTAGACTATTGTAACAGCCTCGTAACTCTTTCTCCAAATTTCTCCCTTCTGTAATCCACCTTCATATAATCCATATAATCCAAACACAGCTGCTAAAGTAAATATCCTAAAGTCAGATCTGACCATATTTTTCTGTGGATTAATATAAATGCCTCTCTTTGCCTCCACAATCTGTCTCCAAAATAGATCTCCAGATATAGCGTGCATTATTTCCCAACTAAAATGGCCTATTTGCTGTTCCTCAAACATGACATTCCATCTGTTGTCCTAGTCCTTTGCACAAGATGCCCTATTCCTTAAATACATTCCCACAGCCTCATCTCCACCTCTTAACAATCCCTAGCTTCTTTCAGAGCTAAGCACAAATGTCATCTCCTACATAGAATGTTTCCTGATCCTACCAGATGCTAGTACTCCCCCTCAAAATTACCTTGTACTGGTGGCGGAGTGGATAGAGTACTGACCCTGAAGTCATAAGGACCTGAGTTCAAATCTGACCTCAGACCAAACACTTGACACTTACTAGCTGTGTGACACTGAGCAAGTCACTTAACCCCAATTGCCTAAAAAAAAATTGCCTTGTGCTGAAGCAGGCAGGTCCACTGAGGAAGAGAGCAGAGGCAGCACATCCCAGGCAAATTGAACTACCACCTCCTCTCAGACCCAGAAGGAGCCAGTCCAGGACTCTGCTCCTAAGAGCCCCCAGAATAGCGGTGCCCTTGAGATGGCCAGCCCTCCTTCCAGCCCAGTTCCTCCCCAAACCCTACACCCAGCCTTCTTCCAAGTAATCAACCTTTGTGAAGATGTGACCTGGTAACTGTTTCTACACGTCTGATAGCTGCCACCTCGCCATTAGCCACACCCTACTGAAGGCTGGAAAAAAAGCATGTTCTCACCCCCAAAGTCTCAGCACCATCAAAGGGTCCGTTATAAAACCCGGATAGCTGAACCCTTGTCTCCCTCTTTTAAAATGTGCATTTCTTGAGAACAGGGACTATCTTTCTTTTCTAATTATGTCCACAGTCCTTAGCACAGTGCTTTGTGCACAGTAACTGCATAATGTGCTTAATAAGTGCCTTTTAATTCATTCATTGATGTGCATATATGATATGCATGTCTTTCCCATAGAATGTAAGTTCCGTGAGGGCAGGAACTGTTCCACTTTTATCTTCATGTCCCCAGTACTTACTTGTAGGGCTTGACTCATGGTAAATGTTTATGATTGATTTTTAAATGTCACGATAAATGGTGGATAACGTGTGTAAACATTTTTATTTTAAATTTTACTTCTTAATCTGTTTTTCTTTTTCAGAATAACCTTAATTTCTTTCATGCCTCTAGTCTATAATTCATCACCATCATCATCATCATTCTTATGTATAGATAGTGCTGTCATTTAGGAAATGATCATGACCATGTAATGCTACACTTGAAGTCAACAGAGACCTGGGTTCAAGTCGCATCTTTGACACTTACTTGTTGGTCACATGCATGCTGATACACAAGGTATCAGACACTGATATGAGACAGGTTAGCAGAGTACTCCTCTGCATAGATCAGGCTAGTTCTTTCCCTAAAAGACAAAGCAGTTGTCCCTGAAACTTGACAGACTCAGAAGATTGTGGCTTCCCAGTCACCTGAGGGCAGCCCAAGTGGACGTAGGACCCTTCAGATTTGACCCTGCCCTGCCTACTGAAGGGGAGTTGAATAAAGTGCTATAGCCTTGTCAAATATTCTATTTTTTGTAACTTTAATAATTTATCATACTCTAACAATTAAAGTATAAAGTGGGAAATTAGTGTGTCACATGAATAATTTCAAAAATAAATAATTTCAGAAAGGAGGAAAAGTATTGTGCTATAGTTACACTTCCTTAGCACCCTTGAATCATTATATATGTAAGTATTCTAAGTAAACACATCTAAGTAAACATTCTTTTGCTAACTGTTGACCCAGCTCTTTCATTACTTTTCAATTCTGCTGGACTGTGACCAATTGTAATGGGTCAGACCTAGCTCAGGCCAAGTTGGGAGACCAAGTTCAAAACTGGAACAAAATGGTTCCTCAAGCCTGATACTTGATTTTCTCTAAGTGAAAAATGAATGGGAATGTCCTGATGCTTATGCAGGACGCTGAGTGTGCCTTACATTGCTCCACCACTTGAGTCCCCTTTTCACATAACCCAGATGTCACAAGTGCACATCCACAGACTACCAACAGAACGCATAAGCTGCCTGAGAGATAGAGGAGTCACTCAGCAGAAGTTACCTCTTCCAAGGCTGGTGGGCGAGAAGAGCCAACAGGAAACCAAAGACGTATCCCATCAAAGGAAACATGAAAGAGATGACCAGAAGGGGACTATCTGCATTCCAAGATCCTTTCATCAATATTCCGCTAGCTACTATAATCACCACCAAGAGGAGCACCCCAACAACACTCCCAACCTACAACAAAGGAAAAAGGAAAAACGAAACATGCAGATAATAAGATCACTTTGCAATGAAACACCGTTAATTGGTGTAATAACAATCTAAAAGTAAATAGATGTTGGTTGTGAGGGAAGGTGGAAGTTGGTCAGAGGATTGGAAGGCAGTGTTTGCCTTAAAATATTCCCCCAATTTTGGATAGGGATGAGTCTAGACAAAATGTTTATGTAGTCCAAATTTATACTTGGTATTTCCTCTCCCTTAGCACTGTCCCATAAAACTCTGTTGTTCTAGGACATATCAACCCTGACCCATCATATTCATACTTTGCTATCATGATTCCTTCACTGAAATTTTTCCATCTTATAGCTCATCTTCTCAAACAGCTAATGTGATGTAATGGGGGTAAACAGATAAGCCCTGATCTGTGGGACCCTGGACCACTTCAAGCGACTATGTGGGTTCTGGCTTGATGATGAAGGAGTTGTAACTTTGGGGTGACACAGACTCCCTAGGTTGACAGCAAGGAGAGGTAGATGCCTCAAAAGAAGGCTGGCCACTGAGCTAACAAAAGTTAAAGGGAAAGATGGCAGCAGCTCTCACTCTTCCCTTCTGTCTACAAAATGTGTCTTCAGTCAAACTGAGACCTGTTAAAGACTTTAGCTTGAAAAGACAAGGTCCCCCACTGCATCCTGGGCTACCTGCAGTTGTCCTGATCCATATCTGGCCACTGGACCCAGATGGCTCCAGAGGAGAAAGTGAGGCTGGTGACTTTGCACAGCCCTCCCTCGCTTAAATCCAGTTCACATGCAAGTCAATTCATCACCTCCCTGATAAGAGCGAATGACAGACAGCAGAAACAAAACATGTATGGCCTGGAATTGCCACTGACTCTGATTCTGACTCTCTCTGCATGTCTCTCTGTTTCTCTTCTCTGCAGTGTGTCTCTCTGTCTCTCTCTCTCTGTCACTGTCTTGTCAATTTGTATCTCTCTCTCTGACCCTAGAGAAGAGGAGAGGAGGCTCCTATCCCCTCCAGCAACAATGGTAGCTGTTCTTACATGTCAATGAGCATGTGCCCTGCCTGTGTGATCCTGAACTTGAACTTGGACCTTGACTGCCTTTTCTGATGAGTATTTCTTTCCTTGGATTTAGGTAACCAAACATGTTTTAAGAGATAGACATTTTCAGCCTTGGAAGAAACCTAAGTTTGAGAGGTCTTCACTTCCACATTTTTCCTCTGGCCCTTTCCTTCTGCTACCATTACAAGGGACCAAGGGATGACTGTGTCATCCCAAACTGCCAGGTCCTTCAGCCAGAGCCCACAAGGGACCTCACACAACAGGGGAATTTCTTCTCACTATGAATGCAATGGTCTTTTGGCTGTACTATGTTACTTTTCTGCCTCCCTGAAAGAATTTTCCACCCAATGAAATGGCAATATTAAGAATGAAAATAGATAAAGTATGTATTCCATGAACACTTAAATAATGCTACCTCACATTTATATAGCACTTTAAGGTTAACAAAACACTTTCCTCATAGCAACCCTATACGATAAATAATGCAGCTAGTGGTAGGAGCAATAGCCCTACTTTCCCCATGCAGGGTAAGCTAGTTCCTCCAGAAAACATACTGAGACCTCTTTAGAAAGTTGGTTGGCTCAAGTCTCTAAAGAAAGACTCACATTTCCTAATTGCCTGAGTACAGATATACCATGAGGAGCTGGCTGGAGGGACTGGAGGGACCGAACTTCACTCAGCTGGCTCAACTTACCTGGCTCTCCAAGCCTATCTTTGTCAATATTCTTCTATTGCTAAGTAAACTTTTTATTTAACTATTGAATGACATAGGGGCCAGCACCAGTCATCTTGACTTTTGTCTTGTCACTGGACTCTGATGATTCTGGAAGAGAGAAAGAGGCTGATATCTTTGCATAGATCCACCTCACTTAAATCCCATTCATAAGCAAGTCAAGACACCACCCTTGTGAAGTCATTGGTCCTCTTTGAGAATGAAGGATGAACAACAATCTCTGAATAGTAGTAGCTGCCCTCTGGGGACCCAACCTGCCAGTTCAAGTTGGGCAATTCTTCTCCTTCTCTTCCTCCTCATTCTCCTTTTATTCCTCTTCCTCCTTCTGCCTTCTCTTCCTCTTCTTCTTCCTTTTTCTTCTTCCTTCATCACATATGGTCCCTCTGTCCATATGGGGTTATACCCTTACATGAGGGTACTCTGTCCAAAGGAATATAATTTTTGGTCGCTTTATTTTCGAAGATATCTTGGGATTCAGGGGCTAGATTTTTTTTCTTCTCTATTTATTTTATCTTTTTTTTTTTCAAAAAGCTGGGACAATTAACTCTTTGTCTTGCATAGTTTTTCATTTATGATTACTTGAAATACAACTCTAGAAAAACAGGCTTTGAAAAAGCCCATTGTGATTCAAATAGAGCTGCTTGAGTTTACTTTTAAACCCAAATCACTCAGGCTTTCATTAAATGGCCAATAATAAGTTCTAGTCCAAGCCTCCCTTGTTCATTGTTTGGGTTTTGAAGAGTGAGTGTAAATAACAATTATTTTCTGTTCTGGCCAGAAACTCTGAGGGTCTTCCCCTCCTAGATTGATTCTTTTGTTATGGCAAACTAGGCCACCTTTTTGCCTCAGACAAAAGGAGACCTGGGAAATACTTTAGTTGAAAAGGGCCAAGGTCTCCCACTGCATCCTGGGCCATTGCCAGTCATCTTGACCTAAGTCTTGCCGCTAGATTCTAAGGCCTCTGCAGCTGAGACTGAGGCTGATGACTTTGCACAGCTCTGCCTCACTTAAATCCAATTTATGAACAAATCAAGACACCACCCTCATGATGTCATTGGTCCTCTTTAAGAAGGATACACAATCTGAATGACCTATAAATGTCTCATTTTGTTCTAGTATCGAACCTAAACTACCATGGAAGTCCTCTGCATCAGGCCCACACCAAAGTACAAGTCTTATTGTCTCTGTGTTCTAGTTGAGAGAAATGAGTCTCACTTGAATGGGGGTGAAGACAACAGATAGTGGGAGTAATCAATGGGTGGTATTTGACGAGGTATGAGCAGCAATAGGACAGAAGGGCAAAGGATTGGAGTGTAGAACATAGTGTAAAGTTGAATTGGTTCATCAAGTTAAGAAAAGAATCATATGAGACATTGATGAAATTACTCTAAAAAAATTCAGGATTATGATATGTCAAAATGCAAAAAAAAAATGTTATTTTGCCATGAGAAATGATGAAATGGATAATTTCAACAGAAAATGGGAAGAGCTTTATGAACTGATGCAGAGCAAAGTGAGTAGAACTAGGAAAAGAATTTACAACATTATAGAGAAAAAAACTTAAAAAAAACCTTTAGAATTGATAAAGGCAATAATAAGCCACAAGTCCAAAAGAATGAAGATGAAACATACCCCTCTTCTGAGAAGGAAGTGAATGGGATGTCCCAGTGAAGATTTCTCAGTGTAATTAAGGTAATGAGTTCAGAAGGTAGGATAGGGTTAAGAATAGATTTCTGTGAGTTATTTTTTTTTAGTGACATATATCAGTAGTTAAAATTTGTCTAGTGGTTAAGCCTTAACCTACTTTTTTGTCTTATTCAAATGCGTCTTTGCCCCTAAAACAATCTGGCTCCAGAAACCCTTAAAAGTTTCCTTATCTATTCCCCTTATCTCCCTTTGACGGATCTTACTCAGCTGTCTTCCAGTTCCCAGCACTGTCTGTTCAATCCCTAAGACCTTCCAAAACAGTTGTAAATTCTCTTTTATGGTGGCCTGGCTCCACAGTACAAAGTCTAGCCTGACTGCACATTTTTTTATTGCTTCTTTGACATTATCTCAACAAACTAAGAAATCTAGAGATGTGTACTATGTCCTTGTCTTATATTAGAGTCCCGAGTGTGAGACTGTGAGCCGGATTAACGGACAGTTGGGGGAGGCAGGGGAAATTCAACCATCAGGGTTATTTAGACTGACTTCTGTGTCATCTCCCTTCATCAGAGCCCACTGGTGTGGGGACACCCAAATCTCGAGATTTGAAATAATAATAATAATATAGCAATAATAAATTAACTTTCTGTTTCTCCTTGGACATCTCTGTGTTTTGTTTTATTTTTAATTTGAGTGGCATCCCACACAGTTTGGTGCATTGGCCGGGAATTAAGCCTCTTAGGAGTCGACCCTCCCTAAGGGCTGAGAGCAGGTGCCTACCGCCGCTTTTCTTGGTGGCTCAGACTTGGGGATTGGTCTCCCTCCTGGGCGGCAGACATCCTGAAGAGAGGAACTTGGAGGAACAGAAACTACCCTGGCAAAAGGAAAAAAAAAAAAAGGGAAAGCTCCAGTATTGTGGTGCAAGTGAAAAACTCCAGCCGATGGAGAGAGCAGTCATGTAAGTTATACGCACATAACCTTAGGACGTGCCAGAATTTGTGGGTTTTGGGGAGAGGACTGTCTATCCCTAGAGAGACAAGCTAAGGTGACTGAGGGAAGGGTGTGATCCCTCCCTGAGGGCCTAGGGTAGGGTCCTGAAAGGGCCTAAGGTGAGGTCCTGAATAAATCACCTGAGAGGGGGCCTAGGGTTAGGTCCTGAAAAAATTCATAGGTCCTTGACCTGAGAGAATCTGGCGACAGATTTTTAGATAAATTTTAACATGGGTAAAGAGCAGTCTAAATCCTGTACCATGGAGCAGACAGGAGGTATACCAAGAAAATAGTCCCTTAGGGAATAAGCTTTAGAATTGGAATGAACCACCAAAATATAAAGGGAAAGATAAAAGAAAATAGTTAAATATGATTTAATGATTTGAGGATTTTACAGCAATTTGTTATATGTCTAATTTCTGTGTTTGTGTCTTTGTGTGGTATGATTGAGTGTCTGTGTGTGTAATCTGAACCTTTGCAGTCAGGCAGCCGCTTTGTTCCTCCCCCCTTCCTCCCTGGTAACAGCAGCCTTAGAGGAGTGGGTAGATGAGAGAGAGAGAGAGAGAGAGAGAGAGAGAGAGAGAGAGAAGAGAGAGAGAGAGAGAGAGAGAGAGAGAGAGAGAGAAGTACTTTATAGTGTGAATAGAGGTTTTGAAAGTAAAAAGGTTTGGAAACTCTTGAAGAGTTGTTGGAGAATATTCTCTTCCTAAGTTGGAATGTGGGAGGGGAGAGAGAGATAAGGAGGAAATGAGAGTGAATCTTTCCCCCTCAGATCAAAGAAAGGCAGATTGAGCAGCAACCAGAACACAAAGGCAATCTATGGGCAACTGTCAGGGGACTGCCTTGAGGGGCCACACTTGTTGGGATGGCTAGGTCCGGTGACTGCCGAGGAAATGAAATGTGATGTTCAGAATTTATTATGCTGTTTGGCACTAAGTGAAATATAATTGAAAATATAAGGATCTGAAATTTGTTACTTCAGTTTATTGGGAGGTGCCTTTTCAAGTTTTAAAACACTTAGTATTTTTTCAAATTGGTAAACTTTTGTGCTGTTATGTTAAGTAGCTTTTCGTAATTTGAATGTCATTAAAGTAAATTGAAAGAAACTAGAGAACAGTGGGAAAAAAATTGTGTACTGAGTGAACTGTTTAGAATGTACAGTAAAGTTGTAAAAGTGGCTGGGAAGGAGAGGGGGAGGGGAAGCCCTATTCAGTTATCTCCCTTCAGAAATGCAAAAGAAAGCTTTATGGGTAAGTTGAGAAAGTGTGAGGAAGTGGTCTGTTTAAAGTAGCATCACAATTGTGATGAATTTGTGCTGCAGAAGAAGATGTATTTATTTCAGACATAGCTAATAATAATAGCTGGCATTTAAGTAGGGCTTTAAGGTTTGCAAAGTGCTTTATATTATTATCTCAATTGATCCTCACAATAACCCTGAGCTCAAATTCAGCTTCAAACACTTACTAGCTATGTGACCATTGGCAAGTCATTCTCTGTGCCTCAGTTTCTTTATCTGCAAAATGAAGATAATAATAGAACCTACCTCCCAGGGTTGTTGTCAACCCTGGGTCAGCAGATACTTCCAAGCAGCCTTTGGGGTAAAGGTGCAGGGAAGGCTGGAACACAAAGGCAGAAATGGCCAGTCAGTAGAAGAACTCCAGGAACTATGGCAGGAAAACTGAGAGGACCCCACAAGTTACAGCCAGGCTTCAACAAAACAACCTCTAATTCCAAATCCAAAGTCTCATAGGCAAACAATGGCCTAAAACTTTTCTGGATGACTGCTAACCAGGTTGGAAGTTAAGTAGGCCAAAAACCTATTGGAAGAGACAATTTTATTTTAAACTGAAATTCAGAGCCATGAACAAAGTGATGTGAACTGTTAGACTTTGTCTCTGTACACAGGTTCCTTCATCTCATACTAGCATAAAAGACTTAGTTCTTCAAGTAGCAGGAGTCTCTGCATATGGCATCTAGGCAGGAGTAGAGTGGAGTCCCCTCTAACCTGTTTGAAAGACCTAGTTGTTAAATTTTCAGTTTGAGCATTTAAACCTTGGAAGTTGCTACAAAATAGGGATTAACTTGTTTTGTTAATTGACTAGATTTAAGAAAGTGTTAACAATGGAGATATATTTAAAGGTTTGTTTGCATGTCTTCCTCTCCCCCACTCCAGCCCTGTTGTTAAACATTTTACTACCACACCCCTGAACTTAGGAGACAAAAAGATGTCATTTGAATAGAAGTAAGTAAAGTGGAAGCAGAGAGGATCTATCTCAGCAAATTCAGAATACTAACATTGTCCCTGTGATCATCTTCAAAATCTGCATTGAGTATTTTTCAGGTGCTTGAGCAAACTGAAATTTCAGTTTGGTCAGGCTTAGTTTGGAGACCATTTTGATATTATGTTTGTAGCAAGTGCTTCCATAATGGGTTCTTGAAGAACCAAGAGCTGAGAAAGTTTCTACAGAACTGGAGACAAACTACCAGAAGTGAGAATGCTCCCTCTTGCCTAGAAGAAAAAGAGAGTTTCTCCCTCTCTTCTTTCCTCTATCCTTAGATTTTAATTTGCATGTAGCCAACAAAGAGATCAGGAAAGTGGCCAGTGGATAGGGAAAGCACCAAGACCAGGAAAAGTGCTTCCCTCTAGCTGAAGTGTCCACAAAGTGAAAGAACCAGAGGCCAGAGACTGATTATGGAGAAGAGACAAGGATTGGAATGTAAAGAAAGACCTCGACTTGCAAAACTGACAGCTGTTAGAAATCACACTGGGCTGGTGAGCTGATGGAAGAGATCATTCTCTAATTGCTGTCATCTGCTTCTAGATCCCTTCAATTCTGAGAGTGTGGGGAAATATCTTGTTCCAGTATTCTTTTCCATGAGCTGTGGGCACGTGGAGCCTAGCCAGCATTCTCCTCTGGCCATACCTAGAGATCTGGGAGGACAAACAGGAAGAGGCTTCAGAGATGGTTGTAGGCTGGTATCTCCAATGGAAATATTTAACGTTTTTCCTTTTCACTTTACACTGTGCACCATAAGTCATAGGAGCACAATCTGTTAAGTTTCTGAATTTGTAAATGTAAGCAGTCAGGACTTGAAAGGAAGAGTAGGGGTATATTTGTTGTGTACAGACTTTAAGTGTTATATTTTAATAATTCTAAGTAATATTCCATTTCATCTCTTGATTGCATTTTAGACCAATCTGGCAAGAGCTGATCCAAATGGTCTAGCAGAGGGGTGGGAACCTGCCTCCAGGCCACATGTGGCCCTCTAGGTCCTCAAGTGCAGCCCTTTGACTGAATCCAAACTTCACAGAACAAATCCCCTTAAGAAAAGGATTTGTTCTGTAAAACTTGGACTCCACCAAAAGGCTGCACCCAAGGACCTAGAGGGCCACATGTGGCCTGGAGGCCACAGGTTCCCTACCCCTGCTCTAGCATCACTGTTGAAGTCTCAGGCTTGGAGGTGGGGGGAGCAGTCCAGGTGTCCATAGACTACAGTGGTTGTATATAGTACTAGTAAATCGTATATACTCCTATACAGTAGACTATCTAGTCTACAGACTGCATCCTACACTGGCCAATAAGGACCTTTTAAGAAAGCTACCTCACATTTGCATCGGAGAGAAACTGACCGATCTACTGGATTGGGCACCTGAGTAGACCACCACCTGGTGGGAAATTCAGGTATTACATGCATTCACCAGAAAATTTCTGAGTTGATATGCCATCTTTCTGTAGGCTAAAGGAAGGCTTGATCTAAACGAGCTGATCTATAAGACAATTCCAAAAGACTTATGATGGGAAATGCTATCCACAACCAGAGAAAGAACTACAGAGTCTGAATGTAGACCCAAGCATACTATTCTCTCTCTCTCTTTTTTTTTTTTTGGTTAAGTTTGCTGTTCAAATGAAAATTTCTGTTTTGGAAGGTTAAAAGATTGGGGGCTTTTATCCACAAGGTTGATCTATACCATAATTTTTCCTTTATCTCTGTCATTTGTCATTTACTGAGGGCTTCCAAGTCTCAACAAACGGGGTAACTTACTCTTAGGATGATTTTAGCTTGTTTCGGCCACTTGAAATTCACAAAGATGCCAAAAGCCACAGGTATGAGGAAGCATAAGAGAGCAATTCCTGAAGAAATAGAAAATATATCAGACCAAACCATTTCTGAAAACTTGACATCTCCCTTCTCAATAACTATTTAATTAGATTTTTAAAAATCCTTAAAAGACAATTCCAATCAGTATAACCAAGGAAATGAACATATTTAATGTGTAGTTTTTAAGGGAGTGAAGAATTCATTGGAATCCTTTATACTTGCGCAGAGCTGATATTGCAACTCCAGTCTTCTGTCTCCAAATCCAGGGCTCTTTCTACCATACTACACATATGATTATTTAAAGAACATTTTTTTAAAAAGTTACTTTTTTCCACTTTTTTTTAAAGTTACTTTGTCCACTTCTAAGTTCTCCAAATCCAAAGCTTTATCATCTATAACCCACATGATTAAACATTTATAGAATGACTACAAAGTAGATAGCACTAGACCAACTTATAGGATTTGGATCAAACCAGTCCCAGATATGAAGTGGTTTATAATTTATTTAACTCTTAAGCATACAAGCTTCAATATGTCTACAGGACAAAGTTTCAATGACTTTTTCCAAAGCTATGATCAAACCACAATGGGGAGAAAATCCTACCACATCTCTTGCTTCCACAGAGAGGTCAGCAGGGAGAAAAGAGACCTAAGTGAATAATCACAGAGAAAGATAAAGGGAATCTGTATGGGGTATGGGAGTTGAGAGTGGGGAATAGATGATAGCAAGGGATGTTTGTAGAATGCAAGTGAACTTTAAAAATCTGTCCTTGGAGAAAATAGTTATTTGCTTCTGCAGACATTTATTTAGCATATTATATATTCAAGACCTGAAGTACAATTTCAAAAGCAAAAGGACTTCAGAGAATTTACAAGGGGAAGCAGCAAGTTCACAGATAAGTAAATGCAAAGTAAATTGAGGGGGAGGGAGCATTAACTAGAAGATCAGAGAATGCTTCCCCAAGGAGATAGTACCAGAGCTGAAATCTTTTTTTTCCCCGCTTTTTGGTGAGGTGATAGGGGTTAAGTGACTTGCCCAGAGTCACACAGTTAGTAGGTAGAGCTTAAATCTTAAAGAAAAGGATTCTGAGAGTCAGAGGTAAAGCATGGGGGATGGATGGCCAGTGTGAAGGCATTGTTTATTGTTGTTTATCCTTCATTCTCGAAGAGGACCAATGATATCATAGGTGAGACATGAAATGACAACCTCACCCACTTTGGCTGGAATGTAGAGTTGGTGAAGGGAAATACTATATAATTTGTCTGGAAAGACAGGTCGGAGTCGGATTATGGAAGACCTTTAATGCCGGGGGGGGGATAACATGGGTCATAACATACAAGATTATTTTGGCATCTGTGTGAAAGGTGGTTGGGGGAGAGAGTGTCTGGAGACAAGGAAGGACTAATCCAGATGAGATGCAATGATGGCTTGAACTATCATAGTAACCATTATAGTTCAGTGTAAAGAAAGGTATAACTGCAAACCGGAGACAGAATCACTGAGATTTGATCGTTGGGATGTGGAAGGTGAGGTAGTCCAAAGATTCAGAGATGATTGCCAACATGGGTGACTGATAGGATGGCCATGCCCACAGAAGATACAGAAAAGGCTGAAAGAAGGGGTTGGGGGGCAGCAATTATGGATCTTTTGTATTCCATCCACGAGAAGTAAGCTGATAGTCTAATGGGCATGATGGAAGATAAAGCTATGGAAGCTGAGATCTGACTTGGATACACTGTGATTATTTTTTTTTAACCCAGATAATAGCTGATGCATTAAATCACACAGTGATTGTCCAATATACTTTCCAATTCAATGATTTAAAATTTAAAATAGGCAAAATTAACCCAAGTCCTTTAACTTTTTCCATTCTCTAGAGAAATGAATATAAAATTAATTACCATGCATCTAAAGCTGATATTTACTTCCCAAGTTCAGTACAGTACCTATGTTTTGATAAGGCAGGATGAGTTTATTCCGTTCAAGATCCCAGGATCGAGTGTAGAGGTAAAGGCAGAGCGGCATCATTCCAGTAGCCATTATCAAGGAACAAGCTGTCATACTGATGCTGCAAGTAAAATAAAAATGATGCTCAGGAGTACAAGTTGGAAATTTAAATTCAGTCTTAAATTAACTTATTAACTACTCTGTTGTGGACTACATGGAGTAAATTACCTGACATTCTTCTAAGTGTTACAAATCATGGACAGAAGGCTATATTTGTGGTCCAAAAAAGGTTTCTAGAAGTTGGACTCTGTCGTTAAGTAATCAATCAACCAGTCATTCATGGAGGACTCATTATATGACTGGAACTGTGTTGTTGAGGGTACAAAAGTATAGGACATGGTCTCTGCTCTCAAGGAGCTTAGAATTTAGTTAGAGGGTGTACAACTAACACATGAAACAAATACTAAACAATATTATCTTAACTACCTATAAGAAGTACAGAGAAGGAAGAGATTAGCATTGGTTAGAGAAGTCAAGTGAGGCTTCAAGGGAGGAGATGGGCTCTGAGCTGGACTTTGAGTTGGGGGGGACAGAAACAAGAAGAAAGGGTATTCTACGTAGGAGAAATAACCAGTAAAGGGAAGTGGCTGAGAGAAAACATCAGGTATTCAGGGGATAGTGATAAAATCAACTGGGCTGAAGTAGAAGCTATGATTTGGGGAGTAAAGGGGGGGAAATGATTGATAGTTTATAGGGTGGCAGACCATGGAGTACAATTGACAATAAAGTAGAAATATTTTGTGTATTCTTTCTTTTTTATTCATTTATTTTGAGTTATCAACAATCACTTCCATAAAGTTTTGAGTTTTAAATTATATTTTGTGTATTCTTAAGCACTTCCACACCTCACACACATACACACCATGAGTAATGTTTTCACAAGTCATACCCCACCACCCCCACCTCCTCAGAAGCAGCCTTAGGCCAGAGGGGCAGAGGCAGGTGTCCCAAGGTTTCCTCTTACCACAAAATAGTAACTGTCCACAGGTAACAAAATGGCTAGTTATGACTCTGGGAACAAGTCAGAGGAGACAAAAATCATTTCCTTTTTTGACTAAAGACTGGAAACCAATCAGATCTGCAATAAAACCAGGCAAATTCAATAAACACAATTTGCCTGGATTCCAGAAAACCACCTGAGAAATGTTTTCACTTTGCACAAAATGGAGGGAGATATGGGGAGGATAATAGTACATTTTAGGTGAATCTGGAATTGGCTGCACAGCTAGTGTTTAATCAACAGATGAACGTCAGTCTGGAGAGATATCTACAGTGGCATGATGCACAGCTGCTTTTTTTATACTGTTCTTCTTAACACTGTTAACAGTTATTTGGGTGAATGAAGGCATAGATTGGAGTTGTCTATCAACTTCTCATGAAATTGAAAATATGGCATGAAAGAGGGAAAACTAACAGTACGTGATGGAATTGGGAACAAGAAAGAAAGTTCCTGGTAAACTAGGAAGATAGACAAAATCTGAAGGGACAACATTGAATGGGGATAAATGTAAAATGTTCTGTGTTTAAAAAAAATCAACTGGACAAGTACAGACTATAGGAAAAATTAGGGTTAGGATTCCAAGGCCAGCCTAGTGCAACATGCTGTCTTTCATCATCATCATCATCATCATCATCATTATTCACCTTATTCTCATATTTTTCAAAGGATTTCTGATAGAAGCAATCTAATAATAAAGTTACTATATCCCACTGTGGTAAGAACTCTCTCCTTACCCTGCCCCCATACAAATGAGGCTAGTCGGTCCTTAGAATGTATTAAGACCATCCTTAAGACATAGAAAGCAGCCACAAGGAACTCCAGCACATCTCTGATTCCTGGCTCATGGATCGCAATGGGCATTTCAGGCAAGGGATTTCACTCAACTGAATCAACTCAAATTGTCCTCAACGTCCATCACTGCTGAATTACCCTTCTCTTGCTAAAGTGATTTACCCCTTTTGTTTACTGAATGACCAATGACGAATGACCACCTAAACTCCCAGGGTACTGGCCTGAGTCAGGTTCAGCCAAGAATACCCACTATTGTTTAAAAATATTTAATCTTCCATGGACTATTAGACCCATAGATAAAGTAACTGCTTTTTGTAATTGAATGAAAGTATTAAGATTTACTGGCCCATCCTATGACATGAACTTAAAAGCATCTTTGGGACAACTCTAATAGCAGACAAGATGATGGATAAGTTTCTATTCTCACATGGTATTTTTTTTTCATTTTTTAAAATTTCAGCTAGACATTTATTTTTTAAAAGTTTTTCATAGTAGTAGTTATTACTACTACTGTTATTATTATTATCCTTCCTCAAAGAGTCCAATTACCCAATCACAGTATAATAAAGTATAATAATAAATAAATAGCATAATAAAGGCCATATGATTGGATAGAGGGGAAGAGAAAGGAGGAAGGGATTCAAGGGAGCTCACTTTTCCAATGTGTCCTAGAGGGCAAGTGATAGGGTTCTGTGTATGTATTCATGAGCCTGACAAGACTATACATCCTACCTTCCCCCCACAACCTCCATTTACTGCTTTTTAAATTTCTAAATTCTAGCAGGTCGAAGGAGCTACATTAGCATAGCTCCCCAAAAGTCCTTTCCCTCTCTGGTTCAAATTGCAGAATAAACTTACTGAATAGAAAGAATCAAGATTTGGGGGAGACATTGTGTAGGCTTTCTATTAGACCAATTGCACAAAAATAACTACATGAGCATAATCTGAAATTTTCACAAAATCAATCATTTGAGCATTTCAAATTCTTTTTAAATCATTAAATTTAAAATTGGATAACCCTTGTGTACTGCCTGCTGTTGTAAATATTAACATAGATAGAAAAACTATACAATGAACTTCTGTGAAGAGCGTGAGAAATCAGAGATTACTTAATATCTCTGACAAGAAATTCCGGTATTGCATAAACATCAGAGAGTGTAGCCAACCAGGTAGCTACATTGTTTAACCATAGTGGAATTTTTTGTTCAAAACAACTCCGAAATTACAAGACTCCACTTGTACTAGTAAAAGGGTCATGATTGTCCCCAAGCTATAAGTAGAAAATAATAGTACAGAGAAATTCAGCAACATTATGCTAAAATAGGGATATGAACTAAAATGAAAAGCCATGACCATCTTGGTACCAAAGGACAAATGATAAATAATACACTTTCCCACAGATTAAAGTCTCAGTATTTATAGTACAATATAAGGAATGACCATGTAGCAAGTGTAACACTTTGAAGAATATTCATCATACCCTCAATTGTTGTCAAAGAGCAACCATACCGAACTAGATTAGTAAAACACACAATATTAGATGGTAACTAGTTAACTCAGATATGAGTTGTTCTTCTCACCCTGATAACCAGTGGCCATTGCCACATGACCGCGTATGTCCATTAGGTTGACATGGCAAAAGCCCATTCACAATCTGTAATTAGTAACTGATCAATCATGCCACATTCACACATCTGGCCAAATGGTGACTACCTCTGGCTGACATACAAGGCACATCAGTGCAATAAGGACGTTGATTTATTAATTTTATAGGAACTCCAACCATTGGACAAATCATTCAGAACCCATCTGGTTCTTTTTTTTTTTAATAAGAGATAAAGTGGACGGGTTTTTTGTTGTTGTTGCTGTTGTTTTGTGTTTTTGTTTTTGTTGTTGGGGTTTTTTAATTTAATTTTATTTTATTTTTGCATGTAACCAAATAATTATCAATGCCTTTAGCTATACTTTTGGCTTTCTCTTTCCTCATCTTTCCTTCCACTCCCTCACAGAGGATGCTCTTTTTCTCTTTCTATCTCTCCCACCTCAGTATCATAAAATTCTCTCCACTCTTTCCAGTATCAAACCTATAATCTATAAAAGAAGGGAGTAACCCATTCACATTGAGATGCAAATGACAGCTGAAGATCTTAGCATTATCAATTTAGAGCTCTTGGGAACCTGGTCTAACCTCCTCATTTTACAGATGAGGTCAAGTAACTTGCCCACATAGAAAGAAAAGCTCAGTTTCTCCAAGTTATTAGTGCTTAACAGAAGTGAAAACTGGAAGAAGGTCTTTGGCTTAAGCACCAAAAGCTGGAATTTCAGGGATCAGCAACCCAGCAGGAGAGGAGTCTTATGTACCAGGAGTACTTATATACAAAAAGTCTTATGTACAAGGAGTCTTCTGTACAATGAGACTTTCCTTTTGAGCCTGAAATTTTGCCCCAAAATCACCTAGTATTGTACAATAGACATTCTCAAAGTCCTCAAATGAGCATTTTATGGTAGGTTTGTAATTTCAGATGAAATAGCCATATATATGTGAGGAACACAGTAGGTACTCAACAAATACTCAGTGATTAACAGTATTCAGCTACCATTTTGTAAGTGATCTAATTTTTTTTATCACAAACATTATTTATTCAGAAAAAAGAATTAATTTAGCAATGATTGACCCAATGCAGTAAAAGTCCAAACTAACAGAACATATAGGAGTACACAGCTTGATATTTTTAGAACAAAACATTTGAAAAAAAACATTTTGAAGAACAGTATGTAAATTTGAAAGCATATTTTAGAAGTCTAAAATATTCTGTCGCCCCTCCAATTTTAACATTTTTATTTAAAGTTTTGAGTTCCAAATTCTATCCCTCCCTTCCTCCCCCCTCCCTGAGATGGTAAGTAATCAGATGCAGGTTGTACATGTGTAATTATGTAAAACATTTCCATACTAGTCATTTTGTACAAGAAGACTCAAATAAAAGAAAAGAAAGAAAGTGAAAAAATATCTTTCAGTCTGTATTCAATCAATAAGAGTTTTTTCTCTGGAGGCAGATAGTATGCTTTATCATTAGTTCTTTGGGATTGTCTTAGATCATTGCATTGCTGAGAATAGCTAAGTTGTTCACAGTTCTTCATCGAACGATATTGCTATTACTGTGTATAATGTTCTTCTGGTTCTGTTCACTTCACTATGCATCAGTTCATGTAAGTCTTTCCAGGTTTTAGTACTAGATGCTTATAAATAAATGTTTGTATAACTTGTTATCCTGAAAATAGTTGCTTACAATCAATATCTAAAAAGCAAACTAACAAAAACCTAGAATGTTTGTCTTCATTTCAGGCCATTCTTTGGCCTAACAAAGTTCTCTAACATGGAATAAGAATTACTGAAAGAGCATAGGAAATATGACTCAAGAACCATCACTTAAAGTATGTAACTGAGATGTATGTAGCATTTAACTCCCCTATCCACTTAAGAAGCATATATGCAGAATGAAGTGGAGGGAAAACAAAATACTTCTGACAAATAATAACAGCATTGTAAAGACAAACGATTTTGAGACTTAACACCACCAATCAGTGAACTAGTCAACCATGACTCCAGAGGACCAACGATGAAGCATGTCACCCGCCTTCTGACAGAGAGGCGATGGATTTAAGATGCATAAAGAGAAACATATTTTTGGATTTGACCAATGCAGGGATTTCTTTTGCTTGGCTATGAGTATTTGTTGCAAGGGATTTTTTTTTTCCCAGTTGATAGAGACGGGGAGAGGTGGAAAGGAAAGAAAACAAATGCTTGTTAACTTTAAAAAATTATAAAAAACAAAGCAAGCGAACCTCCTTTTCATCTTTGCAGAACTGGGGGGAGGGCTTTGAGGATGACATACTGCATATATTAGCAGACTTAGTTACTGTCACTTAGTTTTGCTGACCTACTTTTTGTTCTCTTTTGTTTTGTTTCTTACAAGGAATGGCTCTCTAGGTAGAGAAGGGGGAGGGATATATTTTGAAATGAAAAATGTAAGAACAGAGATATTACTTAAAAACTTGGGTACAATTGAAAAAAAGAAAGTCATTGGGATGGCTCAAAGAATTTTTTTCATTCCCCTGAATATATACAGATATATTAACTCAGACTAATTAAAATGAAAAATGAAATTTTCATTCCCTGGTTCAACACCGGGAACCAGAAACTTATGTCTGTTTTACAAGAGAGCTAAGTCATTTTTAATGAGGGCCTGATGACAGTTTATCCTACCCACCTTGCTCATAGTACTGAGATTCACTGGTCACTGAAATTCTTGAGCTGGACGCTGTGGGCCTAGACAAAGTGCAGTGTTATCTCCACTCCCATATGTACACAACTTCACTTAATAACAGGTCAAGAAAGTATTATGACTTGTGACTATGCTAGGAAAGGATATTTTGAGCCCTAATTCAAGCTTACAGCATTGATGTGAGTACTTTCTCTCCTGAGCTGAACAAATCTATGCAAAACCGTCACCGCAAGTGTTCTCATAGAGAACTTCAGAGTCTAGCACATTTACATACTACTTGAAGGTATCCAAATTACTTTTTTCCCCAACACAGTTCTATTGAAATCAATAGTGCAGGAAATATTATCCTTCAGGGATGTTAGGAGACTGGCCTATAGTCACATAAGCTAATGAGTATTGGAACTAGTATTTGAATAAAGTCTATACCAATGGTATCAAATTCAGGTAAAAATGAGGCCACTATTCTGTATATAAAGATCCTTGATGGCTGCATATAGACTTAGTTTCTAAATGTATTGTTATTTATGTTTTATTGTATTTTTATTTATTTTGTTAAAAATTTTCCAATGGCACTTTAATTTGGTTCAGGCCCAAACTTGGGAGTGTTGCTGACCACATAAGGGCCACGGACAGTGTGTCTGACCCCCACTGGTCTAAACCACCCCACAAAGAAGATCAATACTCATAGGGTGGACGTGTTATTTTCTAAGTAGAAATTAATCCTAATTCCCAATTACATAATTTGTATCAAAACACTACCAAGATATGTGTAGCCTTACCTGAGGTCTATATCTCCATCAGCCCAGTAGGTGAGAAGGTTAGAAAGTGTTCCACCAGGGCTGCAACCCAGCATGAGAAGTGTGACAGCTTGAACTGGTGGCAAAGAGAAACTAATGGCCAAGACGTAGGCTATGAGAGGCATAAGCCCATACTGGCATAGTAGACCCACAGCAATCCCCCAGGGTCTTCTGATATGTGACCATAACTTCTTGATGTCTACAGTACAGCCCAGAGAAAACATCAGCACTATCAACATTACAGCCAAAAACACCGAGAAAATAAGCTTCATGTTCCCATGATTGTCCAAACCTCTTTTCAACTCCTCCTCCGTCAAGTTGTGAGGGCATGCTAAGGTGCCAGAACAGTTCGCCATCCTGATCTTCTCCTAAGTCTTACTTCAAAGTTTTATGAATAGCTTTGACTGATGGCACAGCAAGTTCATCCAACTGCATTTCAGAACACTGGATGAATAACCCAATGGCCAATCATGGAATGATATTCCTGGTAACTACTGGCTAGCAGTTGTAACACGTAGAGTGTCATCTTGATCCGATCACTTTCTTCACAAATAGCATAATGAAAATAATCATAAGCAGGTAGAAAAATAAAATGTAGGTCTGCGTTGACTTCTCTCTCTCAAAAATAAGTGAGCCATCACTTGAGCAAGTAGTAAAAGAATAATTGTGTCATGGAATGAGTTAGTCATGCTATTAGCATTGTACTGAGTGGCGTTCCTGGAAAAGCAGTCCAGCCTCCTGTTCATAATTCCGCCCACTTCTAAAGCTGTTCCAAAGAGAACAGGGTAATTTTTTTTTCTTTTGGCATGGAAAACTAACTTTGGAAGTACAAAGGAAATCATGCCAAAACCACACCTAACAGCAACACCAGCATGTGGAAAATGAAGACTAGCATATGTTAATATGCCATCAGAAATTGTGCTGGTTGGTTTTTCTGAACTTTTTTTTTCCTCTTTCTTTTTTTTAATCTTTGTTATAAGCTCAGGAAAGGGAGAGATGGTAATGAAGAAAATGTAAAAGCAAGATACCAATAAAACTAGGACCAATACAACAGTGGAGATGAATATTAATTTCAAGATAGCTGAGTTTTTGAAATATCAACCAAAGACTCTTTTGGTTTTCTATAACTTGGACTCCAGAATGTTATGAAACAGAGCAATTAAGAAAAATGGTTGGAGGGGCAGCTAGGTGGCGCAATGGAAAAAGCACCGGCCCTGAAGTCAGGAGGACCTGAGTTCAAATCTGGCCTCAGACCAAACACTTCATACCTACTAGCTGTGTGACCCTGGGCAAGTCACTTAACCCAAATTGCCTAAAAACTAACAAACAAAAAAGAGAGAAAAAAAAAGAAAAATGGTTGGATACCTGTAGTAATTCAGTATTAAAAACACAATGAAATGTATATGATTTCACAAAATATGGGGGAATTTTTTTTCACTCAGACTAATGAAAAGGAAATTTCTCTCCTTTGTGGAATAAATCCTGTTTTGAGAAAACAATGACAGAATTGACAAATGAGCCATAGGAATCTGTAAGGAAAAATTACATTTAACATCATAGATAATATCATTAAACTATAATAATAATTATTAATAGCATTTATGTAAGTTTAAGGTTTCTTTGACAAATATTATCTCATATTATCCTCACAATAACTCTGAGAGGCAGGTGCTATTATTACTCTTATTTTACAAATGAGGCAACTGGGGCCCAGAAAGGTCTAATGACTTGCCCAGAGTCCCACAGATAGTCAATGTCTGAGGCTAAATTTGAACTCACGTCTTTCTGACTCTCTGTCCGGTGTCCAGACACTTTGCTGAAATGCAGTAAACACTTTCAATCAGGAATTTCGGAAACATCTCCTGGGATTTACATGAGTGTTGTAGCCAGGCACCTGCTTGAAACCAGACCAGGAAAGATGTGGTCCTGTGAAACTTGTCTTCCAAAAGCGGTCACCACACCCTTCTCCCTTGGCAGTAGAATGTTTTGTGCTTAGAGAACAAAGTTTGGCCACTAGACAAACACGCCTTCTTATTTCTTATTAAGGACAACTCCTTGGAAGGGAGTTTGGGTTTTAAGTGTCCTATCTGCTTAGATTTAAGGCTGAAAGGAACCTCAAAGATCATCTGATTGCATTAGGGATTGACAAAGGCAGCCCCCTAATTTTACAAATGAGGAAGCTGAGGCCCAGAAATCTTAAGTCTAACAATTATAACTGCTTCTGGAGCCAGGGAGGCTAGCTCACTGCACCCTATCCTCCCTCTTCTCCCCTCCCCTCCCCTCCCCTCCCCTCCCCTCCCTCCCTCCCCCCTCCCCTCTCCTCCCCTCTCCTCCCCTCTCCTCCCCTCTCCTCTCCTCTCCTCTCCTCTCCTCCCCTCTCCTCTCCTCCCCTCTCCTCTCCTCTCCTCTCCTCTCCTCTCCTCTCCTCTCCTCTCCTCTCCTCTCCTCCAAGTGTGCAAGAATACACAAAGTTCAGTAGAGATTGCCCTAAATACTTGGATTGAGAGACCCAGGACCTCCTGACCTCTTAAACTCACAAGGTTGCCTCCAAAACGTCCATCCCAAGATCAGGGTTCAGTCACATTCACTCAAGCAATGAAAACCAGAGGCATCTAGAGGCCAAGGCTCATGCCCATGTAGCAGAGTGAGTTCCACTGACTGCCCTATGGCAGCAGTGGACATGAGTTGGAGGAGGATGATTCCTCCCAGGGTTACATGATTCCCCCATGGGGGCTGGGGTGGGGGAGGGGGAGGGGGAAGGAAGAAAGGAGACAGGAGCTAAGGCAATCTGTGGTTTATTTAATTTTACTTTTTTTCGAAGAATGGAAAATTCTCTCTCCCACCTTCTCCTCCACCCCCTATTTATTTTTCTTTTGAAAGAAAAACAAAATCCTTGCAACAAACATGCATAGTTGAGCACAACACATTCCATCCTTTGCCATCAAAATAAAACATCTCAGTCCACACTGTGAGTCCATCACTTCTCTATCAGGACGTGTGTAACATGTTTCATCATGAATCCTCTGGAAACACGGTTGGTTTTTGCATTGATCAGAGATCCTAAGCATTTAAAAATTGTTTATCATTACAATGTTATTAATAAATAATAATAATAATAGCTAGCATTTATACAGCACTTAAAGATTTGCAAAGCCTGCTCATCAAATCCCAGAATATAAGAATAAGTTAAAAGGAAACTCAGGGACACTTTAGTCCAACTCCTTAATTTTACAAATGGAAAAACTGAGACCCAGGAATGTGAAATAATTTGCCACCAATTAATGTCACCAATTAATCCAATTCCCCTCAATTTACAAATGAAAAACAGAAGCCTGAGGATGGGAAATGACTTTCCCAAGGTCACATGATTAGTAAGTGTTAAAGATAAAATTGGAACGTGGGTCCCCTGACTCTTTGAGCTGACCTGGCAGGCAGAAAAGTGGATGGAGGGTTAGACAACCCACTTCTGGCTTCTGCCTCATCCACCTCCCAGCTGTGTGACCATAGCAAGTCCTCAGCTTCCTCATCTGTATGATGGGAGACAGTAAGAATCTGCGAACCAGCAGACCTGGGATGCCTTGTAGCACAGTGTCCAGCTGGCCACTAATTCCCAAGAAGCTGCGGCCAAACATGGGGTTCAGAGATTTGAGCAGGAGGCAGATCTTGGACCAAACAGAAGCTGAGAGAGCTCAAAAGTAGCACTTGGGTTGCTAAGGCAGAGCTGGAATCCCCAGCCAAGGCTTCTCTGGTTGACGGAGAAGGAGCCACTCTCCAGGCCAAGCTGAGCAGAGGTCTTGGCCATAGAAACGGAGGCAGAGTCACTAGTTAGGGGGCAGAACGCCCAGGATCAGGAGCTCACCTACTCCAGAGCCCCAGTGGAGCTGGAACTGGAAAGGTGGAGAAGATGGCAGCAGTGGAGGTTATGAAGTTCAAAGAGATGACAGAGGCCTGGGTTCTGGCTCCAGTACTGTCTGGAACCTTGCATTGCCTGAACCTGATCTCAAAAACAAATAAATAAAACTACAATCTCATTCAATCCTCACAACAATCCTGAGAAGTAGATATTTTTATTTTCCCCATTTTATACTTGAGGAAACAGGGGTTAATGACTTGCCCAGGGTCACGCAGGTAGTGAGTATCTGAGGCCAGATTTTAGCTCACATCTTTCTATCTCCAGCCCACAATTCTCTCCAGTGTGCCACCTTGACAGTCTGTTAACTAGTCAACCAATAAACTAGCTAACACACCTCAGTACATGCTTGGCATCGTGCTAAGTGTTCAGGATACAAAGAAAGGTTAAAGCCAGTTAATGAGGGTGGCAACATGTGAACAACTAAATACAAACTAACCACATGCAGGATAAATTGGAAATGATCAACAGAGGGGAGGCCCCGGAATGAAGGAGAATACAGGGAAGCCAGAAGTGGAGATGAAGAGGAACCATTCCAGGGATGGAGGACAGCCAGGAAAAATATCAGGAGTTAGAAGATGCAGTGTCTTGTTTGAAGATGGCAGGAAGCCAGTGTCATCAGAATGCAAAGTATTCAAGGGAGGGTGTAAGAAGACTGAAAATGTCAGGGGAAATCCAGAACATTTTATATTCGATCCTGGAGGTGATAGGTGTTGCCCCCAACCAGATTGCACACCAAACGGAGAGGTGTGAAATAACTTGTGACATGGGCCAGGTGGAGTAGAATTACTGACTCAGTTTATTCATCTGAGGGTACAGGATATATAGAGAAAATCTAGCCCAACTTCAAAGAGTCCTCCCCTGAGATACTCCCCAGAACATCTGCTGAGGATGTGACAATCATGAATTTCCTCCTTATCAGGGTTCCTAGACTGGGCTGTAAATTCCAAGGTTTTCCCAGGCGCCTTGGCGGCACCTGCATAGAGGAGTGAATGTGTAAATATAAGGTTCAAAGAGTGAGAAGGAATGTCTCAGGGACCTCCTAATCAGGAAGGGATTGGAAAGCCTTACCACTTAGTCATTGAGCCCTGTCAGGTAAAAGCCTGGGCAGAGGTCAAACTCTGCCTTGGATCTTAAACCCTTATCAGACTCTTAAGATCAGCCCTCAACAGATAGGGAACCACTGGAGTTTACTGGGGGAGAAAGGGGGTGACATGGTGAGACCTGCACTTGAGAAAGATCACTTGGACAGTGGAACTGAGAGGGGAAGAAACTCCTGGCAGCAAGACAGATCTGAAGGCTATTGTGATAGTTCAGGTATGAGGTGATGAGGGCCCACACCAGGCTGGTGGCAATGTCAGAAGGAAAGGGGACATACCGGAGAGGTGTTACAAAGGTAAAATCGATAAGTCTTGGTAACAGATTGGATATTATGGGGAGGGGTAAGAAGAAGTGAGGAGTCAAGTTTGTGACAGACATGATAATTTCTCTCATATTAATTACCAATTATTGAATTAGGGCTAAGGTTTCTCCCCTTTTCTACTTTCTCATTCAGACATCAGCCCTTATAGTTTAGGCAGGCAGCATTTGAAGTGCAGGGCTGCTCATGAGAGGGAAAGCTCAGATCTGTTCAAAAGGTAAAGAAAGTTTAGTTTAGGTGAATTAACGGATTCTGGCCCATTGTGTTTTACTCAGAGAAGTACGGGGGGGGGGGGCGGGGGGAAGCGGATTCTCCCTTTTATCTGCTGCTGCTGTTTATCTTTTGTTCTCAAAGAGGACCAGACATCAGGGAGGTGATGCCATGACATGCAAGTGAATTGCATTTAAGGCTGTGCAAAGTCACTGGCCTCACTTTCTCCTCTGGAGCCATCTGGGTCCAGTGGCCAGATATGGATCAGGATGACTGGTTGCAGTGGGGGACCTTGACCTTTTCAAGTTAAGGTCTTTAACAGGTCTCAGTTTGATTGAGGCAGCACCCATTCAGTGATTAAGGCTCAATAAAAAGTGAGGCTAAGAATGGCCTCTTTAAAAAAAATAGATTCAGGAGGGGAAGACCCTCAGGGTTTCTGGCAAAAACAGAAACAATTGTTATTTACTTTCATTCTGAGCCAATCAGGGCCCAAACTGGGGTATAGATAAATCTCTTTGACCAAGACAGATCAGAGTCACATCCCTCAACACCTTAGTAGAATAGGTCCCTTTATCATTATAATATTTATTCTCTCATTACT